GTATGTATGTATGTATGTACGTGTACATGCGTGCACATGCATGTGCATATATATATAAATATATATATATATATATATAACGAAGTGTTTCAGACACCTGGAATACCGTGCAAATTTTCGGATCTCTTGAAGTTTTCGTCTTGGCGGACGAACTTTAGTTTCCAGGTCGTGATAGAGACTTTCCCAGTACGCTAGTGCAGACTCAACTTACTTAACCATAAGAGCCCCAACAGTTCAAAGGTTAGGCGTTGGAGAATTAAGTTGAAAGCACGTGGTCTACACGGGGAATGAGCGATGGTTGGCCAGACTTTGGGCTGACGGGCCGCAGTCCCCGCAGTATGTCGGTATGACAATGATGTCTCAAGATCTTAACCCTAACCCTCCAGGTACCTACCATATAGTGCCCTAGGGGCTAAAGGTACCCTGTACAGTGGGTACCTGGGGGGCTAGGGTTAACCGCAGTCAACCTACGAAACAGTGTTGCTCCTTGCACTTGCAGGGCCACAATCTGATCTCCCGGTACCCGGCAAGACTGATCGAAGCAATAAACTGGGCTCTGAGACGTCACGCCGCAAATCGCCACGGCTGACGCGATAGCCTGTTGCCTTCAATCTGAAATCGAAGCTCCAGACTAGTTGCTGGGCGGACGCTTTGCGAGGGAGCACCCTTATTGGACATGCGACATGCGCTGGTAGAGTCGAACGAAGCTGCTCGGGGCGTGCTACACATACGAATGCAAAGACCATGGGAAACGGTGTGCTGCAAGTTCTTATGGTATAGACTCCGCAAGGCTCAGTTGCGGCACTCCGAAGAGCACAGCGCTCAGGATAATCAAATGGCCACTAGCACCAACACAGGGCTTAGAGTTTAGGGTTTCAAGTTAGGGTGAAGCAGAAACTACAGGTTTTCATACGGCTGCTAGGGTTCATAACATGAGGGTCTTGCAGCAGGTGCCCGGAAGGCGGGAGTGCGACAGCAAAATCCCAACCTGCATGGTCACCACGAGCCCGAAGGCAAACCAAGGACATAGAGTGCATACATCTATGCGCTGCTGAAATCGAGATCTGGCAGCCCTCTCGGAAACCAGCAGAAACGGGCCAGCTACGATCACACGAAGCAGTATGCCATGCATGGATGTATGTATTTATAACTCCCAGTTGAGCCACCGCAAAGCCAATCCCAAGTGCCCTAAACCCCCGAAGCCCTGCCATCAACTCGGTGTACTTGTTGACGAGCAGTTTGGACAGCATGGATCGCCTCGCCCAGACGCCCGAGACTTCTTCGAAGCCCCTTTTTGCAGGATGTAGCAATATGACTTCAAGACTCGATACTGCTGGGACTTCCGACAGCCTCAGACATCAAGCCTGGCTGGAAGCAACACAAACAAGTGGATGCTTCAGAACATGATTGACGGTACCATGCATAGATTCTCAGCGATCCTCCCTACATAATAGGCCCTATGCTTTTGGTTTAAGAAAGCCTACAAGGCCTTTAGCAATCCATATAACATCTAGAGAACTCTATCAACACCGTAGAGCACCCCGGTAGAAACCCTATACCAATCCTCCTCAACATCTAACTGCCCACGGTTGACCCCAGACCCTAAGCCGTTGTGAACCCCTACTGTGGGGGGGGTTTGGGGCATATTATACCATAACTACAATAAGGAACCCCAAAGCTACTATAGGCTATAAGTAATTACCCATGAAATATAACAAGGAACCCCCAAACTATAGGCTGTAATTACCCATAGATATACTAAGGAGCCCCCGAACTACTACAGATATTTCCTTAAGGCCTCTATATTACCCTAAACCCTAAACCCTAAACCCCAAACCCAAAACCCTACCCCTGGGTTCCTCACGCGTGGATCCACTTGTAGATCAGCTGGTCGTGCACCCGAGCAGAGCTCGCCTTGCTTTCAAAGCGAGGCCCGAACTCCCCGGCTTATTCTGTTTTAGGGTTTAGGGCTTTTTTTTTACGGGCCCTTTTCCAACTGCTGAACAGTCTAGAATTCCTTACCAGGAGGAGCCTGCTATTGGGGCCTCAAAGTCAGACGTAGGTTTATTCAGTACGGGCAACCAGAGAAGACCCTTTGTCAGGCCCCAATAGGAAAGCGGGATCTTTGATCCAAAAGTAATCACTCTCTAAGAAGTCCAACTGCTCCCGAACCCTTGTAACCAGCACCAAAACAAAACCAATGGGCCCCAATCCCTTCATTGTTTGCACAACTTGGTGCAGGTCGACGCTATTCTGTACACAGCGTTCTCAGCTCAACCCATCCACTGCCACTTTCGGTATGATTACAAGACTACAAGATCGGATCAACAACGGGACTACAACATCGGGTCAATAAATTTTAGGGTTGCTGTAATGCTTAAGCTTAAGGTTTAGGGTTGAAGGGTTTTAGAGTCTATAGGAGTTATAAAGTTTAGGGTTTAAGGGCTTAGGGTTTATAGGAGTTATAAGGTTTAGGGTTTAAGGGTTTAGAGCTTATGGGAGTTATAAGGTTTAGGGTTTAAGGGTTTAGGGTTGATAGGAGTTATAAGGTGTAGGGTTCTTGAGAAGCCACAGTCGGAATCAGATGCGATTCCGTGCCACTTGGGTTTGTCAAAAACAACCAGTCGCGAATTCCTATCCCTGTTTGAGAACTTATCGTTCTTCTTTATTCCTTATCGTTTTACAAGCCCCGAGATATGCTTAGCTAGATCGTCACAATGAATGCTATATGAATGCTTGCCTCAGTCCTTGTACAAAGCTTCCCGGCGTCTAACTGGAGACGGGGACTCGAGCCGGGGTACTATCGGGACGGACAGGAATTCTTAGATACCAGACACTCCCAGTTCCAGGGCTAAGGGAAGGGGATTGTCGCAGCAGCCAGCAGCAAGCAGAGGGAGGAGGAGTCTTAGGAAGGCCTTGCTTTCGATCCTGACGCTTGCTATCGTTTAGAACTGGCTTTATAACAAGATGGTACCCCCCCCCTATATGAATTTCACTCCCGGCAACTCGCAAACCGGAACCCAAAAGCCCCGAATCCTGGGTCGAAGGGGTCCAGTGGCTCCCAGCTTCGTCTGCAAAGGGCTGTAGCACTTCAGAGGGGCTCTTCGCGCGGTGTGCGAGTTCCCATCTTGGGCCGGTAGATCTTCTTGGGCCTCGGGGCCTTTCGAGGACCCTGAGCTTTACATGGGAGTTTCCGAAACTAAGGGGTACCTTATTTGGGGGTCCTTATAAGAAGCATCCTACTATTCAGGGAACTATACTAGGGTCCCCTATTTTCGGAAACCCCCACATGTTGCAAACTCGACCAATGTGGAGAGGGTCTAGTGAGATGCTCCCGAGCCGAATCTCTGGGGGGTACAAGTAGGGCGGGTCGGGTCTTTGGCGTGGAGGGCTCAGAGAAGGACCTTCGGCCCGCCTGGAACGTGAACTTCGTGCCTAACATCTCCAGGCGAAGGCTCGTGACTTCTGAGACCACGGACCTGAGCCAGGTGTGCCTTTCTGTTCAGTGTAGAGCCGATAAGGAAGGACCACCCTTCACTGGCAGCTATCGGATATGCAAAACACTGAGTCGCAGCTACAGGCTGTAGGGTGGCAATTGTTCATCAAAACTGTGATCTCAGGTTGGGGATGTCTCTGTAGTTTCGATATACGGGAGCCCTGCTTTGCGGTGTTGATACACCCTGTCTACTCTGTGTGTCCGAGCTGGCAGTAATGAGGCAAAGTGCCGGAATTGCTATAGCTGAGACTTTCGCTTCAGAAAAAAGTTCTCATCGAGATCAGTCCATCAATCTAACGGCCCTAGTTACACTAAATGTCCGATGGCCCCGGCGAAGCTACTGCTCCAGTCCACCCTCTGCGTCAAGGCAGCTCGTCCGGACTCAGTTGCCAAGGGGCGGGTAGTTGCAGTACCACCAGCATCCCCACAAGTGGAGGTTGCGGAACTTCGTGGCCAGAACTGCTGCCTGCGGAGTCATGCAGAGAGTGCATGGTCACCACGCTCTCCCTTCCTTGTCCTCAGCGTCCATCATGCTTCGACCATACCTACAGTCTCCATTGTAGTTCCTTTTTTTGGTTTAACCAATTATATATTAAGGAATTTATAAGGTATCCCCAAAAAGGAACTACAATGGAGACTATAGGTACAAGCCGATCCACAAGCCGACGGCGAACGATTGGAAACCCCAAAACGGTTACCGTTTGCGCTGGAGAGTAGATGAGGCGCTTGACGTCTAAGTACAGTACGGCTACTTCACGGGAGATGCTGTGGAAGGAGGATGATTGACATTATAAAAGACTTTTG